CGGTTTTGCTCTGATAAATCCCTGCAGCTCTCTGCCACTGGCATCTAACCTGCAAGATCGTGACAGATAACAACCACCACAACCACAACCATTGTACAAATTAGAATCGGTAAGTATGCCTGTGTGTGTTTGGAATGGAGGTGGAGACACGTTCCTTTGTATGAGAGGAAGAAAAGGAAAAGGGGGTTGCTTCAGCTTAATTGATCCAGAACTGAGACAAAGCATAGGAAACAGCAGTTTTTAGCCGGGGAAATCTATTTGCTTGGCATACTGATTATTACTTGGATACATCAGCCATTGATTTGAAACAGCTTTTGGATCTCGCTGAGGGACCCACCTGAATACCCCACATTTGTTCTACCCTGAAGAGTAAAAAAAGCCCAAGGGCCTTATAGTAATGCATTTAACCCGTTCTTAACTCAGTGACAGACGATCAAGTGAAACGTAACCCTTTTAGAACGTAAAATCAAAGGGCTAGAAGTCTTCTAGTTCAATCCTGCTCAAGGCAAGATCCTGGTCAAATGGTTGTCCAGTCTATTTTTGAAAACCTCCAGTGATGAAGCACCCACAACTCTGGGAGGCAAGTGTTCCATTGATTAATGGTTCTCCTTCCTTTTTCCTCCAAATACACTACAGAAATTTGCTGAATTAACACTGCAGGGCTCTATTTACGATAGATAAGCCTTACATTTTCAGGAGCAGAAAATATTTTGAATGGAAGCTGGGCCAAAAAGGGGGCAGAATCAAGAACCAAACAACCCATGAAGCTCAAAATCCACACGAGGGATTTATAACGTCCTCTATAGCAATGGAAAGCTTGTCTTCATTAGTGGTAGATAGATCGCCATAGCAACGGCTGGGCGTCGCAGTAAAATCACTAGTATAGAAATGGGCTGGGACAGCTACTTAATTTACTGGTTTCATTGGGACAAAGTGTGTGTGCCACAGGAGAGGTGCAGGATTCTATTTCCTGTGGAAGAAGGGATGGGGGTGAGGACATTAAATTTACTAACAGGTCCTTGTGGAAGAAAGAGAAAACCAGTCTCTTCCAAGAAGGAATGATATGAATTTATTGAAAATTATTCTGGAGTCAGGATCTAAAAAAACCCGTAGCTGAATTAGTTGTTCTTTCCACACAATAAGTTGTCCTCTTCATAGGTCTCTCTTCTGCTCGCCTAGACGATTCCCATGTGTAGATTTTGACAACGTACTTAACCAGATTATTGAATTATTTTTTTGTGCTCTGCATACATAGCACATTGAACATAAAGCGACCAGTGGGGTGTGTTCACAGAACATGTCAAGGTATGGAAGGGAGGGAGGGAGGGAAAGAAGGAGGGAAGGACTTTAATCAAAATGAAAACTAACCCAACTTCAACTGACTTCACCCAGTGTGTTGACTAACACAGCTATAGAGTGAGTGAGTGTGTACGCACGCGCGCCTGAAGAATGTGCTGCCTGTTCGGCTGGCAGGGCTTTTTAAAGGATCTTGAGAAAAGCTGTTAATTGCTCTCTCGTTTTAATTATTCCCCAGAAGGCATTTTTCTCTATTCTGGAATATCGTCCCCACCTCCCGAATATCAATAACATGTGTGCACTAAAGACAACTACTTGCAAATGGGTTTCGAGATCATTATCATATATTTGCATAATGCCACCGTCAAACAAATGCCTTAAACAGCAAGCAAACAAAAACACGAACTCTAGAGAGCTGATTTACGAAACGTGCCGTGGACTGAAATAGAAAGGAGGGAAAGGGAGGTAAACAAAACAAATAAACAAACTAGAAGGGAGAAAGCAGAGAGACTCATTACAGTAATTGGTTTGGGGAATATACTATATTTGGCGAAATAAATGGAAGAACAGGTGTTTCAGAATTAAAGTAAATACCCCTTATATACCGAAACCATGAATTAATTTCTACCTATTTCCTCTGGTAGGTTTTGAATGGCCCACAGTAGTAACACATGAATGTTTCCCCCTGTACAATTTCGAAGAGGGAATCCTGGCCAGACAGGCCCGGTTTTGCATAGCAGTTGCTTCATAATAACGTCGCGGTTCGTTCCCTGCTTTACCGTATTCAGAAGCGAGCTATTGCTTCCCACTGCAGGATTGCGGAATAACGTCTATCTAGTTAGCTACTATCTTGCGCAGACGGGACGCTTCCCTGGGTCCACTAACGATCAGCGACCATGGCGGCGATGGAGATAATAACAGGGATGATTATGATGATTATGACGCTGATGATAATGGTTGGGAGGGAACAAGGGCACTCATTTGCTGCTTCGCCCGAGATAACAAAAATGATAGTCTGGCTCACAGGGTGGGCTTCTTAGCCCTTAGGATGCCTGGCCTAGGGTGGAACGTACAAGATGCGAGTCTCACATCCTCAAGGCGTACAAAACGCGTGTGGACTGAGCCAGGCCTCTTCAAAAACAGCGTGTATGCCCTGTCTGTCGTTTCACAGCAGTTTTTCCATCCGATCAGTCTGACCAAGAAGTTTTCCCTACCGTCCATAATATTGTCCCAAACCGGACCACCACTCCCACCTGCAAGGTTACAATCCTCACCCGTCCTACCAGCCTTGAAGCATCGACTGTTTGGAGTCACACACACACACACACACACACACACCAAAGCAATGGATCGGGGAGAGCAATTTGGATTAAGACGCTCGAAATCGAGAGCAGTTCATGTTGTTGTGCTGGACAAGACGGCGAACAGGGATGTCGGTTCGAGGCACCTGCGCGCAGCTGCAGTCCTGTAACTCAGGTCTGCCGTTGTGATGGACCTGGGCATTTGCGTGAAAGAGTTTGATTTTGAGAATTCAAGTAAGGTCTTTTCCTCCTTAAGCACCCATCCTAACAGGCACAACGGTGAAAGAATCACTGAAAAGGGTGATCTATTCTCGACGCTTGGAATCCTAAACACGCTTGATAGGGAATAGAGTCCCTTGGATCCGGTGGGTTTTATCTGGAAAGAAAGACGGATGATATTGCTCGGGAATATATTTAATGAGAAGCACACGCGTTACTCGCTGGGTGGCCAGATCCTAACAGATGCTTGTAATGACTGACCCGGGCGGCCCTTCCTTATCTCGCGACCTGAGGGCAAGTGAGAAAGTGGGGGCGGTTCCTGGTAGAAGTGGGGCTTCTCCCTCCCACCCTCTGTAGGCTAAAAACTCAAGGAAAGTCTATTATTTTTATTGCAAGGAGAATTGAACTTGGCGTGGGACGCTTTCCGCATCGTTTCCGACTGTGGCAAATTAGACGCAGGTCCTTGGCCAAAAAAAGCCAGCCTAGTGTGGCGCATCGAACCAAGCGCCAGAGCCCCCGCCGAGCCTTTTCGCGCGCTACTTAAGTTAGACTAGTAACTTTTCTTAAAGGAAATGTTACTGCCCGTTTGTGAGGCTCGTTCCCGCAGCAGCTCGCCATCCCCACGCCGACTGTAAAAGGCCGCTTCCCTTCCTCTTCCGTTTTCCGAATCGCATCCCTCATCCCAGGTTTTTAGAGCAAGTACTTTCCGTTCCCAAATGTAGAGACTTGCCTTGGCCATTCCCACTGCCCCCCCCCCCCCCGGAGACGAATGGCATTCATTTCATTGCAACATACGGATTTACAAAAATTAATCTATTTGCATCAATGTAAGAAAAACGAAGGGGAGGGGGAGGAGCTAAAGTTTTGGGTGCCGGCCATTCCCTCCGCTGTTTCTTTCTGACCAGAACTAAGTCAGTGGGTTTTTTTTCTTTTTTCTTTTCACCTGCTTCTGAAAACGCTTCGAGCGCCAGATATACTTCTTGAAAGGGCCTGGCAAACTTTATGCGGTGAAAAGAGCACTCTGAGATCTCAGATTTCCCTCCCCCCCCAAAAAAAGAAAACGGTTCGGAGAAACAGAATCGAAAGTTGGAAGGGGAGGAGACCCGAAAGGCGCGAGATAAATTTGGACGTAGTAATGATTTAACATTTGCGGAATTAACTCAGTGGGCTGGGGGGAGGAGGAGGAGGAGGAGGAGGAGATGATGTGGGGAAGAACTAAATAAGGGGAATCTATTTATTTTCTGAGACTCGATCATTTGAGACGGAATTCGGGAAAACGAATTCTCTCTGCTCCAGCGATTACAGCAATGAATGCTTTGCTTTCTCTAAAGAAAGGGACGTTGGCAGTTCTCCACAGCGGCTCCCCAGCCCTCTCGTCGCCTCCTCTCTCTTGCAAAGCACAGGCTTTTTCTGGAGCCACGAGGCGGCCTTGTGGGTAGGTCAGTGCCTGGGTCCTTAATGAAGAGTGCCGAAGAACAAACGGACATCCACGGGACCTTTCCAGGCCCCACGTGGGAAAATTGGACGCCTGCTCGGGTGGAGCGGACTCTCTCGGGGATTAGCGCAACGACTTCTCCGTGGAACTGGAGATCGGACAGCCTCAGCGGGATGGCTCGGTAGGGAAACTTCCTTGGAATTGGGAATCTTCCCTAGTCCTACAAGGATAAGACGTTCTCGCCGAAGTGTCAATGATGGGCAGCTATTAATGTGGATTGTTCTAACCACCATCCGCCTCCACGCGCCCGTGCATCGCCTTTGCCAAGAAACAACCTGTTGTAAAAACAAGACTTTGGACAGGCGCCGCTCCCAAAAGACCCAGCGCTGAGCTTTGCAGGCTTCGGGCAGGCGGAAGGACCGTTCACCCAGCGCCTGGTTCAGCTGCCAAGCCGGCGCCCTACAGGTGGCAGGGAAGCCCCGGCTCCTCCCCATGCAACTCTGGACGAGAGTCACAGCCGCCTCGGGCCGCCGCTCGCTTGGCGCTTCCTCGGCGACGAGGCGCGAACTTTCCCCCTTCTTTCTCTCCCTTTCTCTTTTCCGCCGAGGGCAACTATTTCGGGGGAGGGAGGGGGGAGGGAGGGAGGGAGGGAGGAGAAGGAGCTGGGCAGCAAGTGCGAAAAAAAAAAAAGAGGGGGAGGGGGAGGGGGGAGAGGACGCAGGCAGGAGCGCGAGGGCGGTTCCCCGCTGAGCGCCCGGCCTGAATGGGAGCCAATCGCGCTGCCCTGGCCTCTGCCAATCATCGGTCTCCCTCCAATCCCACCCGCGCACATTTCCAAACTCTGGTTCCCAACCGCGCCGCTCAAATGTGCCGAGCGCTCTGCCAATCGCTGGAGGCCAGAGCGGGGAGCGGATGGAATGAGCAGCCGAGTTGGGAAGCGGAGGAGACAAAAGAAGTTAAAGAGCCGCTTAATCGCTCCATGTTTGGCAAGGCGGCGGCGCTGGTGACGGTGGCGGCGGCGGCGGCAGCGGGCAGGGGGAGGAAGGCTTCAGCCCCCGCCGGGTTGGCCCAGGCCCGGGCTACCCCCGGGCGGCTCGATGGGCCGTTGGGCGGCGGAGGCGGCGGCGGCATGGAGCCCGCGCTGAGTTGCAAGAGGAGCCCCAGCCTGCGCTTGGCCGACTCCTTCAGCGGCGGCGGCGGCGGCGGCGGCTTCCATCCCTTGCACCCGGGGGACTTGGGCTCTTTGGACCCGGCTGCTACCGCCCCCTTCGGGCCCGAGCACGTGGCGGCGGGCGCTCTCAAGCTCAGCCCGGCCAGCCCCGAAGCGACTTTCGCCGCGGCCGCCTCTTTGCAATCGGCCGGGAGCGGAGTTGGCGCCAACGGCGCGGCTCCGGCCTCGGCTAGTCAGCCTTACAGGGCGGCGGGCAGGGAGCTGGCGCTGCGGCGGGAGCCGGCCTTGCGGGGGGATCTCCAGCAGCCCCCGGCGGCCGCCAGCTCGCCCATGTTCATCTCCTCGGCCGGCACCTACGGCGCTGGGGGGGACCTCCACGCCGCCGTCTTTCCGGGCCTGCACGAGCATCCCGCCGGCACCTCCGGCGGGCACCACCCGCTCAACGGCCAGATGCGCTTGGGGCTGGCCGTGGCCGCCGCCGCCGCCGCCGCCGCGGAGTTTTACGGGCGCATCGAGCCCTTCCGCCCTTCGGCCGCCGCCTCCGAAGCGTCTTACGGCCCTGCAGCGCACGGCTATCCGGTCAACTTGGCGGCGGCAGCTGCGGCCGCCGCCGCTCTGCAGCAGCAGCAACACCAGCACTCGCGCCCGCCTGCACATGCGCACCACGCGTCGCCGCCGCCGCCGCCGCAGCCGTCGCACCACGCGGGCGCCGCCGCCGCCGCCTTCCTGCGCTACATGCGGCAGCCCATTAAGCAAGAACTGATCTGCAAGTGGCTGGAGGCCGAGGCGGGCGGCGGCGGCGACGGCGGCCCGCCACCCTGCTCCAAGACCTATAGCACCATGCACGAGCTGGTCAACCACGTCACGGTGGAGCACGTCGGGGGGCCCGAGCAGAGCAGCCACGTGTGTTTCTGGGAGGAGTGTCCCCGCCAAGGGAAGCCCTTCAAGGCCAAGTACAAGCTCATCAACCACATCCGCGTGCACACGGGCGAGAAGCCTTTCCCCTGCCCGTTCCCGGGATGCGGCAAGGTCTTCGCCCGCTCCGAGAACCTCAAGATCCACAAGCGGACTCATACAGGTGGGTGGCCTCTTTTCCTCGTGGGCGCCTTCCCCGGCTGCGACTTCTCCGCCTCCCCCCCCCGACACCCCCTCCTTTCCCTGCGTCGGTTCAGACATGTGACTTTTTACCATGAATAAGTAATTTCTTGGGCGCGATCGCTCCGCACCGCCGCGAGCGAAAGTCTCCCTGATAACATCTATATTATGCCGTATCTCCGCGCGGGTTGGAGGTGAGGTAAGCAGCTGAGAGGCTTGGGCAGCTGGCGAGCTTTCCAGCTCCACCACACTCTTCCACAGGCAAGGCGAAGAGTCCTGGGGAGGTCTGGAAAAGACACCAATGCCTGGGGAAGTGAGAAAAACCACAGGAGGCCCCAGGAACCAAGAAGCGCCGCTCTCTGAACTTTCTCTTCTGAAATCCAACGTTGTTGGGTTTTTCCACTGTGTTCTTTAGTGTAAGGGTGTGTGTGTGTGTGTGTGTGTGAGACATACCTTTCACGTGAAATCCAGAGTTTGGTTGAGCTGTAAGCCTTCGATTTGGGTGTTGTTTTTTTTCTTTTTTACGTTCAAACTTTAGGCATACTTCTTATAGTTGCCTTTGTGGTTCTGGTGTGCTTTGGAGCCGTTGGATAGAAAGAGATGCACGTATCTATGCTGTCCGAGGGGAATTTTTTTTTTTACAACGATCTCCAAAAGTGGAGAAGAGAGCCTGGAAGGTGAGACGAGTGGGCCTGTGGCTGCTAAGGGAGAGGATGAGGCTTTTTTAGTGGAACTGGGTTTTAACGGCGCTGTTAACTTTTACGGCTCGGTTTTGATCTGCGACAAGCCTTTTGATTCTCCTTAAAAGCCAGTTGGGATTTATAGTGGCCTGTAGACAGATATTATCCACCGGAGACGTTTTATGGGGAAGGTGGGCAGCACAGGAGGGGAGTTCACCTAATTGTTTTCGTGATTTATTGTGTGTGTTGCTGCGAAGAGAGAGCGAGGCGGACAAGGTGCAATGCGCTCTTCAGCCGCCAAAGCGAATGGCCCCAGGCGACCAGAGCGGTCGATTTTTAGGTGGCGAATCTGCCCAACCAAACCCATCTGGCTGCACGCAGCTGCCTCCTGTTCTTGTACAGACTTCTCGGAGTCCTGTAGGGAAAGGCGTGGGGAGGGGGGGGTTGCGTGTGTCCCGCAGGTTGGAGAATAAATAATTCTCCTCTCCCTTCCCTCTTGAGTGCAGAAGTTCTTCGTTTCTGGTTTTCTTTCATGCTGGTGCTTGGCGGAGTGGGTGGGGGTGTCTGACTGGTCTCTCCTTACCCGCACTTTTTGGGGGCTTTCCCCCTTGCCTTCGGCCGCCGCCGCCGGATAGGCTGCTTTTCCAGGTCTCGCCCACCCGGGTAGCTGTCGCTGAAAAAGAGGCTCAGTTGGGAGGCGATCATTTTGGCGCCAGGCCGCCTGCATGTAGGGGAACCGGAACGGAGGCGAGGAGGAAACTCGAGCTTGGCTGTTTGGAAATGTCTGAGGACAGCCGGCAAAGGAGCTGACCGGCTCTGGGGGACCTGGTCGCGGTGCGTTTTTTCTCTTCCAAGCAGCCTTCCCGGAGACGAGAGCGAGCCACGACCTTCTGCCCCGCTCCAAGGAGGGAGTTTATGCCTTTGGTTGCAGGGTGTTCGCCGGCCTCCCGGGCTGAAGCAGAGGCAGCGCCGCGGGTTAGGCGGACGGAAGCCGTGCCTGGGCCAGAAGAGGGGCCTTTTCTCCTCCTTTCCCGGCTGCTGGTCCCGAGGAGGAAGAGGCGAAGAGGTCGCTTCCAATAAAAGGCGAATATACGTGTCCCAGGATAATGTTGGAGGATCAAATCCGGGTGGGTCACCGGGATCAGAGAGGTTTTGTCTTCCGAGCTTTCGGGGAGTTGTGCTGGAACCCATCTTCAGGGAACTTCTCTCTAGCAGAGCGTGCTCTGTTCTGTGTATTTATAGGATGCTTGTTGTATGTGGCTTTTTAGATGCTTGATGCGGGGTGTTGATGGTTGGCTTTTAAGTTGTTCCTTTGCTTGTGCTGCCCAGCCTTCGCCTTCTAAGTACTTGATAAGCTGGTGGTAAATGAGCACGCCTGTTGACTGACCAAGGGCCTGTTCCCCAGGCTTCCATCACTTCTCTGGCTTTTTTGTGCCTGCTCATCCAACAATCTTAGTAGCTGCGAAGTTGAACGTGTTACATTCAACTTTGCAGCTACAGATACTAAGATCGCTTCCTTTGAGCGTAAGCGGGAGGAAGCTGGATTTCATTTCCAGCTTTGGATTTCCTCAAGGCGCAGGAAAAGCAAGGCTCCGGTTCTACGCCCTCCCCTTCATCCTTCTCGGGAGTTGAACGTCGGTTCCCTTTCCAGGAGAAAAGCGGGCCTATTTGCGAGCCTTTCTGCAAGCCGCGAATTCTCTCGGGCGGCCCCGTCGGGAACGACGCCCGGGCCCCACTTCCCACAGCGACCGGAGGACTGAGCGAGAGCACCGCGGTGCTGCCGTGAACTTTCCTCGGAAAGGAAGGCAAAAGCCAATACCAGGCCGGCGGAGGCGTCTGGCGTTGGGATATTAGATCTTTGTGCCTTTCCCTTGAAACGCGGCCCGCTTCCCAAGCAGGATGGATTGAAAGCCCGAGCCAAAGGCGCCAGGGAAAACTCGCGAATGCGGGTGGGTGGGTGGGTGAGGCGAAGTCTCGACGTGGGAACATTTTAGCCCCTGTGGGAGGATCTCGCCAAGAAGGCTCCCGAGGGCGCCTCGTATTTCAGGGAAGGTTCAGGACTAGCTGGTCTCGACTCGCCTTCTCCCCAGGCGCTGCCGAAATCCCACGGCCCAGGAAGCCGCTACAAACCACGCAGTAATATTAGGAGGGTGGCATCGCTGGAGAACGTGCGAAAGCGCCGGTTTGATTTCCACTTGCTCTTTTCTCCTTGGAACTCGGGAGGCCGTGCTCGAACTAAACAGCCTCGCTCGCGTTCGGCCCCTTGCAGGAAAACATTTGCATTGGAAAAGGGTTTTCCGAGGAATGTAGCGCCTGAAAGAGCAGATGGTGATTGTTTGCAAGAGTAAATAGGAGAAAAGCCTGGAGTTCTAGCTGGCATCCTCACCCGGCAGAGAGTCCCGTTGAAGGGTGGGACTTCCTTCTTGTGGCAAAAATCCACCTGGTGAAAGATGCCACTTTTGCCTATTGCTGGCTGCAAGAATTATATTTTCCCTTCTACCCATAAAATAGCAAAAGGAGGCTTCCTTTTTTCTTTTTTTTTTTTTTTTACTATATTAATAGTGTTACCAACACAAATGTTTAACCTTCCAGAGCAGGTTTTGTGGGATCCATCTAGACAATTCAATTGCATCAAGAGTCAGATCTGCTGATTATTTTGCTCTCTGCCTTTTAGAGGAGAATTCTTGTCACTTCTAAACAGGGGAAACTTAGAATTATGTCTGAATAGACAGCCTGAAGTTGCACTTATTATTAAGCTGCAATTAAGCCCACTGAAAGGGAGTCACTATAGATTTCTGACATCACCCACTCCCCTGGAGGTGAGATCCTTCCTCAGCAGCAGATCCCTTCCTTTTATGAGGGTACTTGTTTTGCTCTTTTAGTGGATAGTTTCTCCAATCATTGGCAAGCTGTAAAGCAAAGCATGACAGAGAGGGGAAATGAATGCCTTCCTATCTGAGAATGCAGATGGCCTGAAAATTTAGTGGCTTTTTAAAAAAATTACTCAATTATATGTTTAAACAGCTGCTCTTGAAATAAATTATGGCCAAATATTTTTTTCTTTCTGAAGATAGATCAATTTCCCTGGGTAGCTTTTACAAGCCCCTCCCTCTTTTAATCCCCAATTTATAATTTTTAGTAAGAATGCAGAGTGGGGATGAGGAGCAGTTTTTCTCTTGCCCTGGAAGTGTTTATATGAAAGTCGTGTTGTATTTAGATCATTATTTAGAAAATGTTCCTGGATGGTATGGATTGTGCTTTGAAGCAAATCTAAACCTTGTCATGCTGGCCTGATCATTGAGAGATGGTGATGATGATGATCCTGGAAAAGTGTGCACATGGCAGCAGGGTGGGGGAGGGGGATGAGAAAGGAGGAAGAGGGAGAAATGGCAATATAATGTTCCATTTTTTCCTCCCTCTGTTTTGCAAGCTGTTTTAAACCTTCTTCCCTAGAGTTTGGCTCCATCATCCCAGTGTTTGATTTGACATGTAAATGCAAGCAGGTTGGCTTTCATCCTTTCTTTCAGCAAGGAGACCTATGATAGATGTTTTTGTCTTTCAGGGGAGAAGCCTTTTAAATGCGAGTTTGATGGCTGCGACAGGAAGTTTGCCAATAGCAGTGACAGAAAGAAACACTCCCATGTCCACACCAGTGACAAGCCATACTTCTGCAAAGTCAGAGGCTGCGATAAGTCCTACACACACCCCAGCTCTTTGCGAAAACACATGAAGATCCACTGCAAATCCCCACCACCTTCTCCTACCCCAGGATCTCATGGGTACCAGCCAGTGGGGACAACCCTGGGTGCTCCTCTTTCCCCACTTCAGGACTCAGGAAGGGGTCAGCCTACCAGCCTTTCTCCTCAGGTCACCAATCTCAATGAATGGTACGTTTGCCAGGCCAGTGGGGTGACCAACCACCTCCATACCCCATCCAGCAACGCCACCTCTTCTGAGGAGGAAGATGAGGAGGAAGAGACCTACGGGAACTCTGAGTCAAGAACTATTCATTAGAACTCTGGAATGGCATATACACAGTGCCATTTTTGTTCACTTGGTCTATTTATTAACTAAATGAAACCCTATGGTGTTTGTATATGTAATTAATTTAAGTCATTGGACTTATCTCTTTTTTATGTTATTAAAAAGAAGAATCTTTTTTTTAAAACCAATTTGAATTTCAAGAATGACCCAACACACATTACTTTTCTGCCCCCTCCGCCCCCCAGTCTCTTAAGGATAATAGGAGAGGTTCAAGGCATAGCTTGATTTGCAATTTATGCATAGCCAGTTTGACAGTCCCATGAAAATGTTTTCCAAAATAAAGCCAGAAATGTGGCTTATGAATGCAGTATAGGTGAATGGAGGCTCTTAATGCCAGGAGTAAGCTTTATAAGCTTTGAAAGATTTATTCCGCTCTACATTTGTCATTTGTTAAACTGCCAATTGATTTTTTTATTTTTTTTTTGGCATTCATATAGTAATCTCTGTATTTCGTTCACTGCCTTTGAATTTTTTTTTTTAATTTCCTCAAGATCTCAAAATGGAGCGCATGAATAAAATCCTTGAACTGATGTTTGCATCAGACTGACACTAATGTTGAAACTCTGGCTATTCCTAATTATAATTGCTCCTTGAAGGTTAACGCTAAGAATGCTTGCATAGAAGATTGGGCCATATCTTTAAATGGTGTTTACTTCCAGGTAAAGGTAGTTGAGGGAAGGAGTGAGTGTTACAATCCCAGTTAAATAAGATTTCACAAGAAGCCAAATTTTCTCTCTTGGTTCCTTTATGCTAAATATTTATATTCAGAATAAACAATAATCTGCATTGATCAATAGGCTGGCCTCAGGACATCAATATGTTTCCATATCTTTAGGTCTTTAGTTTTACATGTGTTCATTTTTTAAAAATAATTCTAATTTTTAAAACTTTCCTGAGCTCTAATTTTAGGACTGAGGGAAAAATAAAATACTGCTGGTGTCAGTGTAAATGCTGCAATTATTTATTATTGTTTTAGGCATTCAAGGTACCTGAAAGCAATTTTCTCACTGATTTTGGTGTTATTTATAGGCAACTATTTCAGCAGGACTCGTTTGTAAATTCTCTTTTTTAAAAATAATCCACCTATTGGATTATTTAAATAATCCAATGCCTATTTCTTAGTTGAGACCATGAATCTAAGTATATTTACTTGTGAACCAGTGACACTGAATCAAAGTATATTAGATTTATGAGAGAACAATGTTTGGAAATTGAATCCAAAGTAAAGCATTGGATCACACCTCTCCCTCTTGTCCACCTCTTCCTTTTGAAAGAGCTATAATGCTGGAGAAACACAATCTTTCTTTCTGAAAGAATATTTTTTACATGACCCAGCTTTTCATCCTTGTTTATACAAAGGTTTTATAAGCGATTTCATATTTTTCACCACCTGTAATTATATGCAATGATTCAGTGACCAAAGTAAATTGTCATAAATGGATAAATAGAATGGGGTGGGGGAAAAGTAAATTACCTTTGGCCTCGCTGCCAAGCTATTCAAGGGAAAGGTCATGGAACACTGACAAATTCTGATGTGGTTAGTGAAACATTTCAAATGCAAAATGTTGGTTCATCATAAACACCCTACAGATATTCTAAAGAGCACTAATTTATCCTCAGAGACCACTGAATAAGGAACTGGTTGCCTACCAATTTCCAGGGCTTGTAGAAACGAGTGGGATTTTTTAAAAAATGTGCCTGTATTGTAATATGTAGTCTTGTCATTGTTATAAATTGTATGTGGAAGTGATTTATTTTGTACAGCTAAATTAATTTATTTTTTTTTTAATTTTTAGATATCATTCCACTCCCGCACCCCCTTTTTCTTTTTATAGCATACAGAACACACCAAAGAAGACTATTATACTTTTGGTGAAAGCTGTCTATAATTCTGTGGTTTGTTTCGGAGGAAGCCTCACTCTATTTTTCAAGTTACTTGAATGAATAATGTAATGTGAAAACAGATCCTTTCTGCATGTCTGCTGTGCAGTGTGTCGGTGTTCAGTAGTTTATAGAGATACTTGTTTTTTAGTCCAGTGCATGGTGCTGTCCATCTGAAAGTTTTTAAATGCCCTCATCATATTATTATACAAAGGAAAGACAGGACATTTTAATATCTATACCCATAATTATATAAAGAGAACTTGAATACAAACCACTTTTAAACTTATGTTTGCTTGTTTTCCATTTCTTTATTTGGAACCCATTCAGATACTAAGAAAAATACAATGGAAAAGGCCTGGACTTTCACAAGGTAATTTAAGTTTTGGCAGTCTTTATTTTTGGGAAAAAATGTCTTGCTGATTTTAAAAATGCGTTGTTTTTAATTTATACATTTTATTTTCTTGTCCTCCTTTTGGAAAGAAAAATTGCACTATTACCAGCCCTTGTGTTTTGCTTAATGGGAAACTTAACATCTTTAAAGGTACACAATTACTAGGAAGAAGATACTTTGTTCCAATGGACTTACTTCCAAATAATTGAGGTTATCATTGGGGCTGTAGTATTCTTTCTTTATTGTGCCATGGCTTTCTCACAATTTTTTTTTATAACACATAGTACCTCCTTCATATCTGTTAACCTGATCATACATAAGTAAAAAGAGTTTAAGTGAAATAAAAATATTCTTCTTATATCTCACATCTGTGCTTTATTGTTGGAAGAGAGATGAAGAGGGCAGATGAGAATATGAGCTGCTCTTCAATCTTTTTCCCACCTTGGAGGAAAAAGTAAGGACAAATATGAAATGGGATTAAAGCGTTCCTAACCAATATTATTTCAAAGGTCTGTGGTGTTCTATTGTAAAGCAATTTGGTGCCATTTATGTAACCAACCTAACCATTCAAACTGCGTTCTAAGCAAAGAATGAGTGAAAAATGTGGTATGAGCAACATACCACTTGCTACTTAAAATGTTACAATAGGTTTCCATCTAACTATAGTGGGATCGTAAACAATGGGAGATCACTCTTAGAGACTCTTGGAGAAGTTTGGGGATTGATTAAGGTTTTATTTTGAGGAAAGAGGAGGGATTGGCTAGAACGTACCTCTCTCCCTACAATTTGCCTTACACAAATACGCTTCTCCCAACTTATTTCCTAAAGATGCCTAGTTCGAATGTTTCTGTAATTCTGAGGGGAGGGCTTTTTTTTTCAGCTGAGACGTTGAAATGGCCGAAATTAAAAGAGATCTGTAAAGAAGATTTCATGGAAAAAATTTTTTAGAAAGGGGGGGGGGGAAAATGGTAAGGGGGGGGAAGACATGAACTGGGGGTCCTGGGTGAGGCTGCAGTCGAGAGGAGGAGTCTGTGGTGAAAACGAGGATAGGACAAAGTCCCACCCACCCCCGAATCATTTATGGGAAATATATCAGAGATGAAAGGTATCTGACAATGAGGAGGCTAAAACAAGTTTTCTCCTCCTTGTTTTCTGCTGGGGGGACGCCCCCCCTCCCGTCTCCCCCGTCCCCCCCCCCCCGTCTATAGAGTTGAAATTGACTACAGCTCATCGTGCCCCACTTCAAAGTAATTCTGGCCGGAGCGGAAGGCTCAGTGCTTGGACAATATTCATGGTGGGTTAAGCTTTCTATGGCGATTGGCGAGCCATGCTTTTCCTATTTGAATATGGCTTAGACAAAAGACACTTATTGACAAGGAACTGGCTACCTTCAAAGCCTTCGTCTCTTGTCGGCGGGGGAGAAGCGGTGGCTCGCTCGCTCGCACACAAACCAACCTTTAAATTAGCCGCGATCCACTTTGTCTTTAGACCGGCGGGGGAGGGGAAGAGAAGGCACGCGGGGCGTGGGGTGGGGGGGGGGAGGAGAAGTGAGCCTCGAGCCCGTTGCCAGGCCCAGAGTTGGTTTTGTTTTCATTTGGTGGGCCTTCCTGCCTTTCTTCCGCAAAATGTATGCCTTCGGTAGCGTTGGTGCTGGGGAGAGAGAGAGAGATTGAAAGAGAGAGATGTAAGGAGGAAGCGAAGGAGAAAGAGAGGGAGGGAGAAAGAGAGAAGGAGGGGAATGAAGGAGGGAGGGAGAGAGAGACGGGGAGGGAGGAAGGAAGAGGCAGGGGGAGAGACGGGGGAGCGGGAGAAAGAGAGAGAAGGAGGGAGGGAGAGAGGAGGAGGAGAGAGAGAGATTGAAAGAGAGAGAGAGGGAAGGAGGAAGCGAAAGCGAAGGAGAAAGAGAGGGAGGGAGAAAGAGAGAAGGAGGGGGAAAGAAGGAGGGAGAGGGAGAAAGAGACAGAAGGAGGGAGGGAGAGATGGAGGAGGGAGAGAGAGAGGAGGAGGAGGAGGAGGGAGGGAGGGAGGGAGAGAGAGAGAGAGAGAGAGAGAGAGAGAGAGAGAAATAGGATGCACTGGCGAGAAGGCGAGACTTTCTTGCTTCCGCCCGAAGGCTTGGCCGCCTGTGTGTGTTTTAAGGCCAGGGGATCGCAAACAAAGGCCCTCCCCGTCCAGGTCTTGCTGGCCCTGAGTTCTAAAGCGCTTGCTGTGTGCGCTGGGGATGGCTCGGTTTCAGACGGAAGCGCGCGGCCTAGAAACCCCATCCCGTTTGCCAATTAAACCCCGCGGTTTTAGTCTTAGGGCTGGAAGGAGCGAAGGAAGCCAAGGGGATCCAGCCTCTGCCCGGTGCAGAATCCGAATTGGCCGCTTGATTTGCTCCAAATGTTTATGGAATGAGGGGTCGCCGCCTCGACGGAGAGCCGGCCTGGCTCTTCACAGAGCGTCAAGGACCAAATATTTTTTCCCCGCAGGTTCTTTCCAAGTTACATCCTTAACAGAGCCAGTTCGAGACCACGCCAGACCACGTTGGTTCGGCTTCGCTTGGATAATCTGGCTAGGTGGTTTCGTGTTGTATACACCCAGACCATTTAGCTACTTTAAGCTACCGTATGAGTTAGTTCAATAAACAGGTTTACGTGGCTTGGGTGAACAAAGCTTGTGTTGAATGCTGCCCCACTTGTGACTCCTGGCACAACCGTTGTCTTGAGCCTGTGAATAGATCCGCTTCTCCTATATACAGAACTACGGTACCCATCACCTTCAGCTACAGAACAGAATTTCAGATCTACCGCTACACAATTTCGAGTGTATTTAGACACCGAGCAATATATGCTCAAGCATTTGTGAACTAACTCCAGCCCTACTGCACCCATCTAGGAGTTAGGGAGAAAGAGGCAGCTTAGACTACTTCATCTCGCCAATACTATTTTTCAACATTTGATGGCTTGGAAATGTTTGAATGGACCCCAACTGAAAATAACGGCGTTTATATGCTAGGAAAAGCTCTTTCTGTGGTTGAGCGCGTGTATGTTTGATTTCGGAGGGCTTAAATCGAGAGAACAGTTTCTTGCCATCGTCAGATGATGAACTGCAAAAAAAGAACCGGCGTCCGGGCCTCATGCGGATTAAAATAATTAAAAGAGGGAAATAATATATGGATACAAGAGAAGAATGCCAGAATTACAATTCTGAATGTATATGTTTGGGCGGAAATCCCCCCCCTCTTTGATCCAGAAAAACAAGACGAATTGTCAGCTAGAGAGAGGATTTAGGCCATCCGCTCCTTAGTGTTAGAGGCTCTGTAGTCCCAAACACCTGCAGGGTATCAGGTTACTTATCTTGTCTATACTCTATGGAAGGGGCTCCATAAGAAGGCAGATAGTCACGTGAGGGAGAACTATAGGGGCTGCTATGCGTGTATATCTAGATACACATTGGTTAGAATCAGAATCACAAGGTGATATTTTAGGAAGGGATTATGGTCTCCCATTGGTACTGATTTGGTTAGACGGTCTCTCCGATGCCAAGGGGTCCTTCGGAGTCTTTGGACGGGTGTCAGAGATCACACCCCTAGTCAGTGGGGCCACAATAAAAAAAGGGTGGGGGGAGTATCAGGGTTCAAACCTGGGCCTCCTTCTCTCCTTCTGTCTCTACCGCAACAAAGAGCCCTGGAAAACTTCAGAGGCCGGCAAAGGCGTCTCGCCTGCTCATGGTAGACGCTCTCCCGCTCCCTCTGGAGCTACAGGAGAACCGATCAGGAGGCGGGCGCAGCGGTTGAGCCTCAGCGTGGATGAGGAGAGAGGGGACAAGCAGGGAACCAGCCTAAGCGAAGGGGATCCGAAGCAGAGCGGGGAGCAAACTTAAATATATATAAAACTTTATGCCTTCGGCAGCGGTGGCGCTGAGGATACATACATATATATATATGGAAGGAGAAAGAGAGGGAGGGAGAAAGAGGGAGAGATGAGGGAGAGAGAAAGAAAGGAAGGGAGGGAAGGAGAATATATATGTATATAAATCTATCTATCTATCTATCTATCTATCTATCTATCTATCATCTATCTATCTATCTATCTATCTATCTATCTATCTATCTATCTATCTATCTATCTATCTATCTATCTACCTACCTACCTACCTACCTACCTACCTACCTACCTATCTATCATCTATATCGAGATAGATAGCTATAGACATATATATCTCTAATCCCAGGAGCAGCCTTCGTCGTCTTCTGCGCCGAGAAGGTTTAGGAGCTCCAGGCAGGAGAGGTGGCGGCGCAAACCCACAAATGGAATCCATCTGCCGGGCTAAAAACTCCCAGTCACTTGGATCCAGTAATGGGCTGTGGAGGTGCAGCCTTCGGCTGGGTTGCTTCCCTTCTTCCCCAGCGAGCGTCGTTCACCCAAATTCCTGGGATGTGCGTGTGTGCGCGGCCTATATATAACATAGATGAATTTCAAGGTTGGCGAAAGAGGAAAAACGGATACCTGAGGGTGGGGGCGGGGGCGGGACGTCGGGTCGGTATTGACAGACGCGGGAACGAGCGCTTCTGGGGACAGGCAGGTGCATTTAATTAGTAACTCTGCTTCGGCAGGCAGAGTTAACAGGCAGTATCGATTAGGCCGGCCTCCCTCACTCTAATAATTGATGCTCAGAGTGGGCATCGTTCGCTGGGCTTCAGGGCCCCGATTCTTCCCTTCTCTCCTTCTCCTGTATCCTCTCCACTTTCCAACTTTCTCGAGGTTTTCTCGGAGAGCAGGGCTTTCAGTGCTTCTCCCCCCCCTCACTTCCCACAGAGGGACCCTCGGGGAATCCTCAACAGTCCCCCTTCTTTCTTTTTGGGGGGCCGCCATTGCCGATTCAGGACAGGCGAAGTTCAAAGGCGGGCTCTTTCGGCGTGGAAAGCGGCCGCGTTGCTCCGACTAAGCGCCGATTCGCGACACCCCATTAAGAGACAGTTTCGGTGACCTCGCGTTTCACGGCCTGTTAGTTCAGTCAATTGGCGCTCCTTCAATCTGGTCGGGTCTTCGGCGCGCACAGTCGTGTGTGTGTGTGTATGGGGGGGGAGAGGGGTCGTTTCTTGGCCTCCCCTGTTCAAAACCGCTCTTTAAAACAAACGGGAGACCCTCTCAGTTCACCCCAGCATGGCCCTGTGGGCTCTGGGCGTAAGGGAATCTAGGAGATCACGACTTGGGGAGGGCACTCTTGGGCCTGGATTTAAATATTTAGGTTAGCATTAACTTTACAGGATCTCTAACCCGCTCCACTCACACAGGCTCTGGGCGGGGTAAAGGGCCTAAAATCAAGAGTGTACAAAAGAAACCAATCTCCGCAAAGAGGTCCAGCCCATCTCTTAACCCATTTTCTCATCCCTCCCTCCCTCCCTCAATTGCCCCCATCCATTAAACAAAAACAACAAAAAAAACCCTGGTTAATCAATAGCGAAAGTAAGGGGGAAGTCACCCCTCTCCTGACATTTCCTCCTCCTCCTCCTCCTCCTTCACCCCTCCCTCTTTTTAGGCACTTTTATTGATACGCGGTTGTCCTTTGTTTCTCTAATACAAGCCAGCCTGAATGGTGCGCCATAAACACGTGAAAGATAATCAAACCCAGGATTCCGTCCCGCGAGGGAAAGATGGGTGGAGAGGAGGGAAGAGAAGAGAAGAGAAGGGGGACGGGTAAATAAATAAATGCATACATAAAGTTTTTTTTGGGGGGGGGGAAAGGAGGAGAGGGAGGCGGCGGCGGCTGCGAAGAGGAAGGAGGCGGAGGGAGAAAAGCCTTTGAAGTGGCCCTTATTATGGCCGGCATACTTGGGGTTGCCCTAACGACGCGGCTGAAAGGAAAGCGCTCGCCTTTGTCCCCGATTTGTTCTCCTTTGCTCGGTTGCCCGCAGAAATGACTGGCGTGGGGGCTGCCTCAGAGGTGCACCAATTTCGAGCTCAGACTTGCAGGCGCCACTTTCCTGAGGACAGATGGGGGCGGGGGGGGGAGAGGAGGGAGGGGGATGGGAGCCGGGACCGGGGGGGGGGGGGGCAGGGGGAGGAGGAGAGCATCTGGGGGTGCACCGGGGTGGGAGAGTCACTGGACTGGGAGACAAGCACTTTCCTTCCCACCCGGAGGACAGAGAGCGGCCTCCCCCAATTTGGAGGATCTCACTCATGTTGGGGTTACTTGCATGCTGGGCTGCTGATTGAGAATGGTGGAAAGTGCTATCCAGACATCTTAGGGGTCTCCCCTGTGAAGGCTGTCTTAGATTCTACTGGTCAGTTTAAATTCACAGAGAAGGTCCATGTTTTTCCATGGGATCCAACCCTGGAAAGCTCTTAAGAAATTTGTGACGGCTTTTAAGTAAGAATGGTTCCCGAGTTATTGTTACGCTATTACACTCATTGGGGTTTGCACTTTAGCCCAGACACCTGCTATTCTGAAGGACATGCAGGTATAATTTTCTACCACACTCCCACATTCAACACTCACTTTTGGGGGCTGGTCCAAGGGATCTTTCTATCTGAGCTAGAGCGGGTGACAAAGTGGTAGTCCTCGACTTAAGACCACAATTGAACCCAAAATTCCTGTTGCTAAGCGAAACATATGTTAAGTGAATTTTGTCCCATTTAAAGACTTTTCTTGCCACAGTTGATAAGCGAGTTGCTGTGGTTGTTAAATTAGTAACATAGTTGTTAAGTGAATCTGATTTTCCCATTGCCTTTGCTTGTCAGGAGGTTGCAAAAGGGGATCACATGACCCTAGGACATGTTCATAAACATGAACCAGTTGCCAAACATCCAAATTTTGATCAGGTGACCGTGGGGATGCTGCAACGGTTGTAAGTGTGAAAAATAGTCATCACTCAGTCACTTTTTTCAATGCCGTGTGACTTTGAATGGTCAAACTGTTGTAAGATGAGGACTTGCTGTATAACCCTAACTAAGATTTTAGGAAAGTGAAGCCAAGAAACCTAAGGAGATCTAGACAGCTTATTTCCATCCCTCTTCTGTCCCCATCAGCCTTTTTTATCTGGTGTGGGCATTGGCATGGCCATCTTCCTCCCTTCTTCCCTGGGACTTGCGCTCCATATTTTGCTGCTTGAGAAAGATGGGTGAATGCCAATATCCTGGTTGCACACTACCTAAGAGCAGCCAAGTGACTGGGGCATCCAAGGCAGAAAGTCCCATCGGATCTGTTCACCTTCTTTTCTTCACCCTCTCACAGTTCTCACACTGGAAGCGGCCTATTTACTCTCCCTAAGCCCTGACCAGGCGAGAGTAAATGTGTTGTGGATTGTGCATAAGGCATGGCTCTGTCACTCGCCACATGCATACAGGTCTTTTTCTCTATATTCCTATGAATGCTGAGTTTATTCACTCACATTTCACTCCCTTCCCCAAGCTCTTGCTGCTTCTCTCACAGGAAAGGCTCCGCTGCCTTCTATCTTTCCTGTCTGTTCTCCCTGGATGCTTCTCTGCACATGGTGACTTCTTATCTGTAGGAAAACAGGATAGCGTTTGAGTCTTGAGGGCTGCATCCTTTGCACTCTGGTTTTGCAACGCTAAGGAAGTGGTTTGCCACCCTTTCCATCCAAGTTCTTTTTCCAGCTTCCCAGTCTAACCTCCCGCTTTAGGATTCCTGATGGCGTCCCTACCAAGTACTAATCAACAGCAACATTGTTTTGCTCTTGGAGTGACTCCAGCTCTCTTAAATAAAGTCCCCAGCATTCCAATGCAAAGAGGGAAACCAATTCAATCACCTAGTCAAGCTACAACTGCTCAGCGCATTTGTTCATCCTGATGAGACCAAGGAAATAAATTCAGACTGATCCTCTCCCTCAACAAGCCTTGAATCATCAGACCTGGAGGGGCTGTCTGCCTGCCTCCCACTCATTCAGGTTAGAAATCCACAGTGCTGGGTACTCTGGCAACTCCTGCATGCTGACACATCAAGGCCCGAAAAGGCTCTTAGAACAGAGGTGACCCCAGCTTCCTTCTCCCTTGGGTCCTCCTCACTTTTGGCTGCAGACAACAGCTGATTCCACCCCCCCAACTTTTCTCAAATCTATAGGCCTGGGAAGATCCCCAAAATTGAGATGGTGTCCACAATACTGCTACCATCGAAGCTCCTCTCCTGTTTTATCTCCATTGTGTGCACCATATTGAAACATGACAGCATAATCGTGGTCACAATAATCTTAACTTTTGTGACCTTGCCCAGCAGACAGACCTGCTCCAGCATATGTTACTGGTCAGATATAGTCACATGATCAGCCTGTGCTACTGGTTAGGCCAGGGGTGTCAAACTCAATTTCAATGAGGGCCAAATCAGGGCTTTGGTTGACCTTGGGGGAGGGGGGGCAGCTGGGCATGGCCGACTGGTGTGGCCAACTGGGTGGGCGTGGCCAGCTTGACGCCACTACCCAAACTGCTGGCATGTTTTCCTCTTCACACTGGTTAGACTGGCAGAAGCGACACACGTGGGCCTGCCCCTTACATTTTCCAGGACAGCCCCATGGGTCGGATCTGACCACATCACAGGCTAGATCGGGTTTGTGGGCCTTGTGTTTGACACCTCTGGGTTAGGTCTTCTATTAGGGTTGCTTAAAAAAAAGAGAGACAGGGAGAAAGCAGGAGATAGATTCCTCCTTTGAGATGGAAGTTCATGGACTGGGAAAGAGAGAGTTGTTCTTGTCGGTGTGGAAGACTTTTCTCCCCTCAGGGAATTCCCGGGGCAGCCTCTTTCCAGAGTCCTCTTTTCCTACCTACCTGAGGGTTTGATTACTTCCCTAGCTTCTACTTCCTGAAAGAAACACAAGAGTAGCTAGTTCCAATGATAGGAATAACCTCATTGATCAGGCATTTTAAAATCCTGGGATCATTTCACAATACAGGTGGTCCTCGACTTACAACAGTTCACTTAGTGACCATTCAAAATTACGGCACCAAAAAAAGTGACTTATGACCAGTTTTCACACTTACGACTGTTGCAGCATCCCCATGGTCATGTGATCAAAATTAGCAACTGACTCATATTTATGACAGTTGCCGTTGCAGAGTCATATGATCCCCTTTTGCGACCTTCTGACAAGCAAAGTCAGTGGAGAAGCCAGATTCACTTAACAATTGTGTTATGAACTTAACAACTGCCCTGATTCATTTAACAACTGTGGCAAGAAAAGCCGTAAAATAGGGCAAATTCATTTAACAAATGTTAATGGCCTCAACTATAGTAGTAAGTCGAGGACTACCTGTAATTTTGTCACAATCTTAAGACCAGCCTTGTGTGAGTGACTCTCCCCTGAGCACCAGCCACTTGCCTAAAAGTCTCTTGTACATTTACAATAGTGGTTGAATTTACCACTTAAGTTAAATCACAGATTTGTAAAATACAGCTTCTATAAACTATTCACATATCCTGATATTCTTCAGGTATGAAATTATTTAATGCGTTTAATACGGAGTTAGGTGGTATTCCAGCTGCCATGTGATGTTGTGGGTGACAAAAGGGTCCATCTGAATGCTGAGAAGTGATACCTATTATAATAATGCACTCATTCTATTAGCACTTAACTTACTGTGATATATTTTCTAGTAACCAATCCCTTGATTCTGATCCTCTGTGCAATTATTTGGAACCTTATGTTCCTTCTCCCAACTTTCCAGCCACTGCAAAAGAACTGAACTCCAGGTAAGACTGCTAATCCTTATTTATAGTAACTTGTAGTATCACCCAGCCAGTGCTGTGCAGAGGCAGTTGAAATTCATTACTATTTACAGGGGAACAATAATAGTTATGTGATGTGATAAATCACTAATGAGCAAATGGCCATATTTAGTGTTGATATATAATTGATTGAACTCTGAGGACTTTACTATCCAGTATGTTTGCAGAGGATTTGAAGTTTCCGGATCTGCATTTGATGGATTCTTGGAATGAAATGATCAAGATTGGAAAATGCCAATTAGGGATATAGAGAGAACATCTAAAGTGGCTTAGAATCACACAAGCTCATTTTTATAACTTCTGGGTACGCTAGGAAAAAAGATGGTGTCATCCTCTATCCGTCTGGTTAGTAACAATGGGTTATGTGGTTTGGGGATTAGGACAGTGTGTTTACTCCAAGCTTTCTCTAGAACAGGGCTGGGCACGAGGGCTGAAAATGGTGGCACTGTTTTCAGCCATTTCATGTGAAGCCCTGAAAAATTGTGAGGTATACCCAATTTTGTTTATGTTAAGAACATAAAAGAGAAGATAATCCTCCCTAGAAAATATTAGTTTAGGCCGTGGCAGATCACAACTCAAACATACTTTAGAGCAGGGGTGCTCAGCCTTGGAAACTTTAAGATTTCTGGACTTTCAACTCCCAGGTGTTGAATTCATCCTGGCGGGCTCCTCATGTATGGTCCAGATTAAGAAGACACAAGGACAGGTGTTTCTCGGGATGAGAGAGCAGCAAACAAAGAGCTACAATCTCTTTTATTAGTTACCAAAATACAGCGTCATCAGAAGGCGTTATTATGGCCACACATCTCATATTACATACGAGAGATAGGAAAACAATGGTAAAGATAAAAAGCAAAACCTAACTCTGGCTGCTTGGTACCAGATACTACCAGGCGAGAGGCCCATCTCTGTTATCTGATTCTCAGGAATGTGTTTACAAAGAGATAAGAGATATTTTTACTTTGTATCTCAGGTACTTTGTATCCCAGGATGTTTATACAAGGAGATATCTTTACTTTGTATCCCAGGATGTTTATACAAGGAGATATCTTTACTTTTGCAGGCACGTCCTATGTTAAAAACAATGAAAGAATGAATTGGGCCCTTCAGAGAGTATCCATATGAACCCACTTTTCATAGTTTGATTATTTCATTGCTAAGCTCCATACAAGTGTCCAACCAGTTAAACTGGTCTATACATGTACTATGGCCACTGCATTCCCACATTTCCTCTGTTTTTGTTTTTTGCAACTAGGTTCAGCTGTATTGTTATTATGATGTTCTCTTTATGCCTGGGAAACATGTCTATCATCATAGCAAACAAAGCAGTAATACATTGAATACTACAACATACAGAAATAAGCAAAGCAATGATCATGAGTACAGTAGACAACATGTTCTTCATCCATCTGGTTTCTGGAAATGTTTTTAGCTCACCCATCCTTTTATTATGGTGAACAAAGTTAGTGGAAAAGTGGCCAGGAGATGTCAAGCGAGGTAGGCCATCAAGTTTCTGAGTTGTACATTTCCACAAATCACTCACACAAATTGTAAATCCATCCGAATCCAGACACCCAAGAAAACCACATGTCAGGAGTTTGTAACCTCTGAGTTATCTTGGAAGCCCTATCTTGCAAGTCTCGAGCACCTCCTCTGACCACACCTGATTTGTTCCTCCAGTTCCAGAAGGGCTTTGATTTCACTTTTCAGGACGTCCTTCCTATTGGAGGGAATAAAACCTTTGCATATTTGCAGAAGGGAGGGGAGACATTGGATACAGCAACAAAGCAAAACAAGCAGTACAATTATAGATACAATATTTGGCATAATCGATTTCAACCAAGAACCATCCAGGAGCCATGACCAAAGAGCAGTCCAGGTGTCAATGGCGCCAGATCCATTGGATGATAAGGGATTGTTTTTTGATCAAGTTTTCCATATGTTCTATGGTGTGAGTGATGTTATACTAATAATCAGATACATAGGCACAACAATGTGAATGTATAAGGGCACAATCGCCTCCTTTAGCTAAGGCATATCGGTTTTGTAAGACTACCTCTCTGATTTCAGCCAGTTCTTTATTCATCAGCTTCAGCACCTTGATAGTCTCGTTGAACATATATACTGTCCAGTTATTTAATAAATGAAGATCCCAATAGTTCATTGCCACCCGAGATTGGGCAAGATGCCTCTGGATATCTGAGTTTTTAATGAGCCACCCAGTGTCAGTGATGGGTGTGGTTTAGGAAATAGGAGTAGTGGAGTTTGTCCGATTAGCAGCTATTTGAATGTCTTTTACTGTCCCATCATGATTGAATGTAGAGGCTGCTGACATGAAGGATCATGAGATGTAGGGGCAATAGATGCAAGATCGTGACTTAATTCCAGAATCCATGATATATAGTCTCCTTTATGCAATTGTTACAGAGGCCCATTGTCCTTATCCACTCCCCCCTCAGCTGGAAATGTCAATATGGGAACCTTAGGTGGTGGAGTAGACTTAGGTAGAAAGTAAGGACCTTGTGCATAGACAATGCGTTTGTGGCAGGAGCATTCTTACATGGTCACTTGAGAGTCCCAAAGCTAACAATGTCCAAGGCCATAAACAAATCATAGTCACTTATACGTGTGAAACAAAATTACTAGCAAAATTAGAAAAACAATTCTACTAATATTAATATGTATAAGAAAGTGTTAAAATGTATATGTACAATATGAAGGTAGTTTCCTCCTGATGAATATTTGCTGTGCGCAGGGGACCAACTTCCG